TAAATTTTAATTTCTTATTGTGCAGTGCAGACAGTGTTGACCCAACACTGGATAGGCATGCCAGGCAGACTTAAAAATAATCGCTGGTGGTCAAACACACTGAAGTGTAAAAGAACCATTATACAAAAAAATTTTGCATCCAGTTATCATCCAGATCCTAAGCTCATTTTATTTCATGTATTTTGGTTTTAGTGAACAGATATGAAATTTTATACTAACAAATTACACAACTTGTTTGAATAAGTTTTCATTTGTTTTCATTATTAATAAAACTGCCCTAGTATGCTCAATGGTTAAACATAGGCATGAAAAAATAGCCAGCTCAATAGTGCAATATTTATTACCAAATATAATTTGAAGAGTCCATGAAGTCTTTCTTATATTTAAAGTAACCAAAAACTCATTTTAGCTTGATCATTTGGGGATAGGACACCAGTCAAATAATTCATGCAGCTACCTCGGGTCTTTAGACAGAAATTATTTGCAAGAGATAATTAAACAATTTAATTTTATTCTAATGGGAAGGAGAATGAGTTGAAAGTACTTTATTTTGAAATCACCATTTCTATTAATTCTTTATTATGAACTTCTCCATTTCCATCAGTTCCTGCCTTTCTGAAGAAGATTTCATCATCTTCTTCAGATGGTAATGTTTCCTCTAAGTTTGTCATTATGTGTGTAGTTTTGCCTTAGCATCACCTAACTGTTATTAATCTTGTCAAAAGCTCAGAATTCCTCATGGATTTTTCTTCACTTTCTGTATCTTTTATTTTTATAATCATCATGGTAATATTTCTGGGAAATCAATGGTACATTTGTCTCTCTCATTATACGTTATAATTATACTTCTGCTAGGTTCCAACTGAGAGAATGTAAGAAAGCTCCAATTGTCTTTGTTGTAATAGTGTCATCGCCATTTTTGAGAGAGATGAATTCTGCAATCGGTTCTTTGGTCTTCTGATCAGCCATGGTGTGAGCAGAAGAAAGAGAAGAGAGTCAAACCAGTTCAGTGGTTTGAATAACTGTGAATGCCCCCACGGCTACTGCCATGCACGTCATTGCTATCCAGCTTAGGTCACACTGCTTCTCTGAGACTCTTGGAGTCAAGTTGTATTTTCCTTATGTAAGCAGAAACTTTAGTGGTAGGACTTTCTTCCTTCTTTTTTTTTTTTTTTAATTTAGTGAGAAAGATTGGCCCTGAGCTAACATCTGTTGTCAATCTTCCTCCTTTTGCTTGAGGAAGATTGTATCTGAGCTAACATCCATTCCAACCTTCCTCTATTTTGTGTGTGGGATGCCACCACAGCATGGCTTGATGAGCGGTATGTAGGTCCACACCCAGGATCCTAACCTGAAAACTCCAGGCTGCCAAAGTGGAATGCATAAACCCAACCACTATGCCACCAGGCCAGCCCTGCCTCATTCTTGATATTGATTTTCTGTGCCTTTTCTCACTATCATTGATCAGTCTTGCCAAGGATTTTATTAACATTTTCAAGAACCAACACTTTGCCTTGTTAATTGTTACTATTGCTATGTCTGTCATGTATTTTATTAACTTCTGGTCTTATATTCATTGTTTCCAATTTTCTACTTTCTTTAAGTTTATTTTTCTCTTCCTAACTTATGGAGAAGGATACTTAGATGTAAATTTTTAGCTTTTCTTTTATTCTAATATATGTGTTTAAGGCTATAAATTCCTCATAAGCATGGCTGTAACAGAATCTAATAAGTTTTAAATGTTGTCATTTATCTCTCATTTAAAAATGTTTCCTAATTTCCAATGCGATATTATATTAACCTATGTATTATTTGGAAATGTAGTTCTTAATTATCAAATAAATATATATATGGGGATTTCCACATTACACTGTTTTTTGTTGATGATGACTAACTTAACTATATTGTATGGTTTCAATTCTTTGAATTTGTTAAAACTTGTAATGGTCAAATCTATAGTCAGTTTTTACAAATGTTCCATGTGGGGCTTGAAAAACACGTGTACTCTGAATCATTGGCTTTAGTGTTCTATGATGACCATTAGGTCATTTGTAATTATAGTATTGTTCAAATCTTTATCTTTATTGGTTTTAGTCTGCTCATTTTATTAGTTACTGAGGAAAGTATAACAACTTCACCATATGATTATGAACTTGTATATTTTTCATTTTGGCTTTGTAAATTGTTTCTATATTTTGAGGCCACCTAAAAACAGGAGCTTGTAAATTAAGAATTATTTCACTCACAGGTGAATTGAAACACATTAATTTTTAATGATTCTCTTTGTTCCTGGGTATTAATCAAGGTTATCCAAAGAAACAGAACAGAGAAGAGATATACACACATATATATATTTGAAAATAGATTTATTATAAGGGATTGGCTTATGTGATTATGGAGGTTGGCAAGTCCAAAATCTGCAGAGTTAATGGCCCAGTTCAAGTCTGAAGGCCGATAGGCTGCTGTAGAACCAAGAAGAGCTGATGTCCCAGTTCAACAGCTGTCAGGCAGAATTCTCTTTTACTCAGGGAAAAGTCAGACTTTTATTCTAGTCAGGCCTTCAATTGATTGGATAAGGCCTACTCATACTATGGAGGTCAATCTGCTTTACTCAGTTTAACGATTTAAATGTTAATCTCATACAAAAACATCCCCATAGAAACATCCAGAATAATATTTCGCCAAATATCTGGGAACTCCATGGTCCAGTCAAGTTGACACATAAAATTAACCATCACTCTCTGATAATATCATTCATCCTAAAAATTATGTTGTACTATAAATATAGATGTGCAAGCTTCCCTTTGGTGTTCGCACGATATAACTTGCATTCTTTTACATTTAACCTTTCTATACTTTTATGTTTTAGATAATGTAGTTCTTATAAACAGCATATAGTTGTCATTCTTTTTTCCTACCAGTATGACATTTTGGCCTTTTCACTGAAGCATGTAATACATTTAAATATAAAGTCTGAACTAATATTTTTGGTTTTAAGTCTACCATTTTATTTTGTATTTTCTATTGTCCTATGTTCCATGTTCTTTTCTCTCTTTTGTTCTCTTCTTTTTATTGACTTAGGATTATTTATTATTTTTTTATTTTTATTAATTTCAAAGTTATGTATTCTTTAACTAGTCATTGGTGGTTATACTTGAAATAACAAGATGCATCCTTGATTAATAAAAGTCAATTGTTAGTTGGTATTTTACCTGCCTCCAATAGAGGCACTTTAGGACACTCTCTAATTCAACTTAATTTCTCCCAACTTGTAGACTATTGCTCTAATGGAAATTAATTCTATCAATATTTAACCTTCACAGCATATTGCCTATATTATTATTTTTACAGCACAGATTCATTTAGATTTACTCATGTATTCATAATTGTTAATTCTCTTCATTCCTTCCTGGAAACGCCCATCTATGATAATTTTCGTTCTTCCCTTTAATAATTTACTGTGTGTTTCTTGGTGGTGAAACACATGAATTTTTGTTTATCTGAGATTGTCTTTATTTAACTTTTGTTCTTGAGGAATATTTTGTTAAGTACAGAATTCTAGGCTTCTAGTTATCTTTTTTTCACACACTGAAGATATTATTCTCCTCTCTTAAGGATTCTATTCTGTCGTTACTGTTGAAAAACCAGCTTTCAGTCTTACTATGGTTCTTTTGGAGGTTATCTATTTGTTCTTCTCTTGTTTTAAAAATTTCTTTTACCACTGTTTTCTCCAATTTTAATATAACATGTCTGTGTTTGGAATTTGTTATTTTTCATACCTGGGATTACCTGGCTTTTGAATAATGGATTAGTATTTTCAAGGTTTGGATGTTTTTATCCCTCATCTGTTCAAATATTGCTTAAGGCCTATTTTTTCTACTTCTGGAGATACTATTATATTTAAGCTAGATTTCACTGTATTCTCTATATTTACTATCTACTACAGCATATTGTTTATTCTCTTTGCTTTATTCTTGATAACATCCAGTTCCCAATTTTCTCTTCAACCATGTCTAATCTGCTATTAAATCCATCCACTCAGTTCCTAATTTGAGTTCTTATAATTTCCATTCTGGAATTTCTAGTTGTTTCTTGTTGTTGTTGTTGTTCTTATTTGTTTGTTTTTTTAAATATGAAATTTCATTTTTGATGGTTTCTAATTCCCTGCTAAATTTTTTAATTCTGGAAATGATCTCCTTGAAGTTTGAAAGTTTATTTATCTTATAGTCTGCTTCTGATAGTTCAATAAGTAGGAATAACTGCGGTTATGTCTCTTTTGTCTATTATTTATACTGATGATTTTCGCTTTTTCTTATCTACTCATGTCACTACTTATCTTTGATTTTCTTGGTGAGCATTATGATGATGATACTTTCCTCCAGAGAGGATTTTCATTTGATTCTTCTAGGTTCTCAGGACATTAACAATCTGATATCTCTTTAATACAATTTTAGATGTCAGATTTTCTGGGTCATTCACATGATTTAAATACTGGGTATAATCCATGTGAAAACTGGTTTACTTCTGGTCATTCTTATAATGGGTGTGAAGCCCTTCAGATTGCCATCCCCAAGCATAGTGTCAGCTATTAGGGATCCCCTCTCTTGGGCTAGCTCAAGATTCTACCTTTAGCCACCTAATTTTACAAGGATGTCAAAATGCTGTTCAGAACCTCAAACACTTCTCCAAGATTAACAAAAGTCCTCACAAAAAAGAGTACCAAATGCCAATTTTACATCTTTGTATTATCAACTTCTGTTCAATCTTGGCCTTGTGATTCCTCACTGTTTTTTTAATTCCTCATCTTTATAAAACATTTAAAAAATATTTCATATAGACGTTTTAGCAGGAATGTTTGTATAAAGCAACTAGCCCACCTTTACTGGATGTGAAAATTTGTAATTGACTTTTAATTTTGTTTGAGAGTAATTAGCAAAAATCAGTTCCTATAAGTAAGACAGACAATTTTGTAACATATCAGTTTCTGAGAAGAGAAAAGCTTATACATCAAAAGAGAGGGAACTTGAAGCCTGCCACTTTCTCCCCATAACTTTCACAGCCTCCTTAATATCTCTATTCCTCAAAGAGTAGATTATAGGATTTAGCATGGGGGTAACAACACTATACAATACTGATATCAGCCTATCTTTCTCCAATGAATATGTTGAGATGGGCCGTACATATGTGAAGATGGAGCTGCCATAATAAAGAAGGACAATGATCAGGTGGGAGGCACAGGTAGAAAAAGCCTTTTGCCTCCCTTCTGAAGAACTGATCCTTAAAATGGTAGAAACGATATAAAGATAGGAAAGTATGATACACAAAAAAGGAGTCCAACCAATGAAGACTCCAATGGATAGTAATGCCAACTCGTTGACAGAAGTGTCCCCACAAGACAAGATCAGCAAAGGAGGGATGTCACAGAAGAAATAATTGATCTGGTTGTTGCCACAGAAGGGCAAGTGGAATGTCAGTATTGTGTGCACCACTGAGTTGAGGAAACCACCAGTCCAGCATGAGGCTGCTAACTGGCCATACAGGGCCTTGTTCATAATAACGGAATAGCTTAAGGGCTTGCAGATTGCAATGTAACGGTCATATGCCATAGCTGCCAAGAGCAGGGACTCTGACCCAACAAAAAAAATAAATGCAAAAAGTTGTGCCATGCAACCCAAATAGGAAATGCTTTTTTTCTCTGATAGAAGATGCACCATCATCTGGGGAACATTGGTGGTGGTGTAGCAGATGTCAAGAAAAGCTAAATTTTCCAGAAAAAAATACATAGGTGTGTGTAGGTGTGGATCAGTCATGGTCACCAAAATTATGAAGGTATTGCCACTCAAGGTACAGATATAAGTTACAAGGAAGATGGTGAAAAGTAAAAATTGCAATTCATTTAAGTTGGAGAATCCCAAGATGATAAACTCAAACAGAGCTGTTTGGTTTTCTCCTTCCATAATATGGCTCTTGTTTTCCTTCTGAAATTAGGAACAAGTAAGTATAGATTTCTATAACCATGTACTGCTCCAGAAACAGTCTACAAAACAAGAAAATAATAATTTCACAGATTAAAAAGTAAAATTATCAACAAAAACATTAGATGTATCTATAAAAATGCACAATTGCACAATAAATAAACTCTATGCCTTAGCCAGCATAAATATAAACACTTTCAGCCTTTCATCTGTAGGTAAAATCTCTTAAAATGAACACTACAGGCAGTTTTGAATTTTAAAGGAAGCCACAAAAGTCCAAATGCACCATAAGTTCTAATGAGAGGAAGGAAAGGCCTATCTGCTTTGTCTTCCTGGGGTTGCAGTAATTTGGAGGCTTATTAGATACAGTCGTCATTGGTGGGTCAATCAACTATGCTGCCCTGCACACTTTTGGAGGCTGACATTTGTAGATTGTGTGTAGAATTAGTCAGTCACATTTTATATATTATGGAGGAAGAAGAGGGTGGAAAAAGACATAGTGATACCAGAGGTTGATATTATATTTTTGGAGCAATTCCATAAAACATAGAGGAAATTTACAGTTAATCATAACACATAGATGCTACAGTTCAAGGCTCTGAGACTTAGATATTCAGGTGGTATAAATAAGCTCTGGCTATTGAAAGCCCTTATAAGAAAAAAAGAACTTTTTTTGTACAAGGAGAACAAATTAATATTCCTTAGGTCATTTACTGTGTGAAGTTTATTCTATACCTTATGCCCTTACAAATCGCTACAGCCAGGTTGTCCTTGAGTTAGCTCTTACTGGCTCATAAGAGTCCATTGTTAATTTTCAGGAATTTTGTAAGCCAGTTATTAAACACAGCCATTATTAAAAATGAAATTACATACCCTTCTAATTGAATGAATTACATTAAGAATAGAAGTAACAAATACAAAAATTATTACTCCCTATTCATTCTACATGTTCCTATTATCTGTGCTTTTGAGATTATTACTTTTATGGTATCTGTATAATGGAGATGCCATAAATTGGTGTGCTACTGAACATCTCTTTCCAAATTAATGTTTAGGGAATCACATTGATAGCTTGCAATTGGTCTTGGTGAAAGTATTTATGCCATGGAAATTGACAAATGCTACAAATTATGGCTTGATTCATGGTTTTGTTGATTGTCTAGGCTTAAGAAAGTGATGGAAAAATGTTAATGATGCAGATAAACTTAAAAGTGTGTCATGTTTGTAGTCATTATATTGTGAGGAGGAAATTTTCTTCCAGTATTCAAAAACTGTTACCTACTTTAGGAAAATTGTCACTGACAAATGAGTGAAATTCAGACATATATCTTCATTGATTCACTTTTGTCATACTCATTAACATAGACAAAAATGTCAACCATTAATGGCATTCGTCAATGATTTGAGAGACTTCTTTGTTGAATCAGGTAGTATTCAAAGGCTTATAGTCTAATTCGATCAAATAGTGGTTGAATTTTAGCTATAGCTTGGCTATGAATTCAAATATTTGTCAAAAATCAACATAAGTTTTCTGTGACCATCAATCTGCTATATGGAACTGACAATAAAAAGTTTTGTTTACTTTATAATTACTTTTAAATTGTATGTTGCACATTCTTTATATTAGTGACATTTATAAATAAACTTGTGTGTATGTGTGTGTATATGTGTGTGTATACATATTTTTTCCTGAAAAAACAGTTGTTAAACATTTAGCAAACCACCACTGGCTACAGCTCTTGAAACTGTTTCCTCTACTATTTTGTGACCTAACCAGTTCTGAGCAGTAAATAGCTTGCCCAAAATCACATAGCTAGTCAGCACCAATGTGAGGATACAAAGCAGGTTAGATCTGAGCTCATAGTCTGAGCAGTTTTAACAACTTAAGGTGGGAAGTATGTCTCATTCTGCACGCCAATTCTAATTTATTGGTAGGGATTGACTAATAGCACTGTAAGATAAATTAAGCGAAGATATCTCCCAACTCAGAAATCATTGACCAATTTCAAACATAGGAAATGAGATGATAGTGATGGCATACAAGCCTTCCATTTGTCAACCTATAGAATACCATCCTACCATTTTTCATTCATGGTATAAATACTAGAACATGATTTTTGAAAATTCGCTAGAGCACAGCTTCTACCCCTGTCCCTCCACACAAGCATACACACTTGTATTTTTACATCCAAGAAAAACAAGACTTGGATAATGAGGATACAATCAATAGAATTAGTTTTTGAAGGTTGTTCCTTAGATCTTCACTAGCTTCTGCCAAATCATGGGGATCATGAGACCCACAGGCCCTGGTGCAAGGGTCGACCATGCTGAGTCATCATACATCAGTAATAACACATAGCAGCATCAAGTTTTATTACAACTATTTAATAACTTCATAGCTATACTAGTAAAAGTAAAGAAGATAAAGGATACTCAAAAACTGTAATGAACTCAGAACCACCAACTGCCTCATGAGATAAATACATAAATTATCATGATTAAAAAATATTTTTAATTAAAAAAATTTTTTAGAAATTAAGTTTTCTGTGACTATATAAATGTCTAATTCATTATTTGTTGGTGTCTTTCCCTATGACTTATATTGTCATAAGAATTGGAATCATTTTAGAATATTTTTTAAGATTATAAAGTATGAAAAGGAAAATTACTATTTTTATATTAATATGCAAGATAGAAGTGAGTATAAACCACAGGAAGATGATTTTCACTTTTACGATACAAAAACTATCCAAGAGGCACTCTTAGTTTGTGTCTCCCAATTTAATTGACTTGTAATTTTTCTTATTATAAAAGTAGTGCATGTTTATTGTAGACTGTGTGGATAATATAGAAAAATAAAATGTTAAATAATCTATAACCAAAATGCTAGAGAAGACTGCTGTTAGTATTTTGGTTTATATCTTTACAGTCACTTTGGCATACATGTCAATAAGCATTCTCTTCAAACATATATTTTTTGTTTTATATTATTCAATTATATTGAAGTATCATATTTCTCAATAAATATTTGGTTTATACAAAGTTTTGTAATTATAATGTATATAATATACATCTAAATTATATTTAACAAAATATGTTTAGATATTTCTCTAAGTATTTCTTGAGAATAACTTCCTAGAAAGAGTAGAAGTGACTTCTAAGATTTTGATACTGATGGTCATATTGCAATCGTTTAATATTGGACTAAAAAGGATAACATAAAGATCATCTTGGTTCATGTCTGACAATATATCAGAGAGGAAAGAGGATGGAAGCAATAGAGTAAGGAAACCTGAGTATTTGTTCCTAGCCTGGCCATCAACTAACTTTTTGAGCTTCAGAAAGTCATTTAGATTTTATGGTACTTAGTGGACTCATTTAAAAAATTAGAGAATTGTGCTGACTCCAGAATTCTAGAAAATTATTCTAATTGCATGACACAAATTAGTCACTTTGGTTGTTTAGTGTAATAAAAAATTTTAGAAATCAAACGTTTAAATCAATTTCTCACTTTTCATTCAATTATTTTGAAAAAGTAATAGTGGACCTGGGTTAATTTATTTCTTCATGTTCAATATTATGATTTTAGGAGCTTATACTCCAATGAGAAATTCCAGGTGAAATACTAATTCAGAAATAGTGAATGGAATAGCATTAGAAGAGTGGTTCATTGATCTTTACCATCTCTCATTCTCTCTGCAACCATAGAAACTGTTCAGTGCTATGATCCAGATGACTCTTATCAAGATTATAATTTGTACACCTGAACATGCATCTTAGATTTATATCTTAAGAATTTAACTTAAATCAAATTGTCTAAAAATAAAAATTAATTTTTAAACATAAAAAATACATGTAGTTAGATTACTAGTGAAAATTTTTGCAGGAAGAACAGAAGTTTTTTTCAGTGACTTGATTGTTTGTTGAATTTGCCCCAGTTAGCATCACAGACCCAAGACAAAGTCCCAGCAACGGTAATAAAAAAAAAAAAAAAAAAAAGAGAGAGAGAAAAGAAAAAGAGGAAGAACGATAAAAGAAAGAAATTAAAAACCTGTATCAGAGTGAAGATAATAGCAACTGTTATTAAATTCAGAGTCCCTTCAATATAATTATCTCATTCAAACTTTATATACTTCTTGAAAGCCAGAATAATTTTAAATTTATATGTATGGGCTTTAATGCAGTTAGCAGGTTCTTAATAAGTGTTGAAGTAAATTTATGAGGTATAGAGTGAAGTACACAAGTAGGTGAATAGAAGGAAATAATTAATTGTCATATCAACATCAAGGGCTGTTCTTACTCTTCCTGGAAATCATAGCACAGTTTCAAGTCCATTCACTTTCTCACACTCTCCTAGATAACCTTTCCAAAATTCCTCTTCTGTCTTCAAACCTTGAACTCTCCTTTTTCTCCATATTTACTCTCAACAGCTGGATTTGCTTCCTTGTCTATGAGAAATTTGAAGCAACAGAAGGGAACTTCCAGATTCCCACTGTCACATTTGTTTTATCTATACATACGGTTTTCCCACTTATTTCCATGTTGCTAGAGATCAATCCTCTGTGCTCCTTTTTAAAGCCAACAGTTTTACTTGTGCATTTGATACTCTCCCCTCACTTAATCAAGGATGCACTCCAGCAACACCACTTTCTCCTCCATAATTTTTTTCTTTCTCTACTGAAACGTTCCCTTCAACAAAAAAACAGGCTATTATTTCTTCCATAAAAGTGAAAAAAAATCATTTAACACTATTTTTCTTCACTAATTTCATGCCATTTCTCTGATATTTACATCAAAACTTCTCAAAAATGATGTCTAAATTAACTGTCTCCATTTCCGTTCCTTCCAGTCTCTCTTCAAAACACTTCACTAGGCTTTTACCCCAACATTCCACTAATCCACAGTTGTTGGACCAACTGTGAAATATATACACACAGAGTCTTACCACTTATCATCCCTTCTACAATCCCCGAGTGAGTTCC